CAAACCCAAATCAGGTTGTATGGCTGATATCTTTTAAGCAGCTTTTTCAGACTTGACAAGGGTCTCTAAAGAGTAACTATTTTCACACTTCATGACTACTAAATGAATGTTTTTATGTTCTGCTCGGGTGACACTGAGATTCTTTGCAGTCTGGATATAAGCACAGACACAGTCATCAGTGAGGTTTTATGGTCACCAATGTGTGTAGTGTCTGTTGTGAGCTTGTCTCCGCTGTCACAAATTAGGCCCTACTTTCGACTGGTGATTCAGCATATCGAGTCAGCGGTGGAGGCAATCAGTGAGAGAGCTGTCTGCCTGTTAAGCCAGAAGGCACACTTTAAAGACAAATAAGTTCAGTCTTGTTTAGACTATAATTGAGAAGGTCAGAGCAAATCCACTCGGATGTGGAGCGTATCAAATATAGAAATGAGGGAGAAGTTTTAGCACAGGGCTTTTGATTTTTCCAACTGTTTTTTGTTCTGTTGTTGTGTTTCTTTGTTTCCATTTGCAGGCAGCTGGTGGGTGGACAAAGGGTCAAGAGTAAAGCGTCAGCTATTCGGTCGCCATAAAAAATGTTAAAACTGAAAGGAGACTTTCCGCCCATCCACTTATACAGCAACAATGTAGCTATACTGCAGCTTTGTTTTGGGCATGAATTTAACCTTTGACTACACCAAAGGGAACTGATGAATACAGAGACGCCTCGCAATGAATAAAAAGAGTTAACGGGTTCAACCATCAGTCGATCAATAGCTCTAATCTACAATGACGGGCAGATATAAGCAGGTTTCATACAAACAACATATCAAAGGCAGACAAGCTTCACTGAAAGATGTTCCTCTGCCCTTCAGAGGTCTTTGATCAGTGATAATATACTGTATATGTACGGCTTGTCTCATGTGGTGGCAGGATGACCACTTTAAACATCAGCACACATGCAAACGCGCGTAAACAGAAAGACCTCGTCTGCTCAGTACTTCGAGTTGCAAACTTGCCCTGACACGCAGATCTTTATCTAAACAGTCTCTCAGAGGTTTCAATAAGATGAGTTGATAAACGTTTCTCGTTGAGTCTCGGCTGGTCAGAAGGGATTTACTGAGAATGTTCCAGCGAAAGAAGTGAATTCCAGATACATCCCATTATCCACAGGCCAAACACATGCCTGCCAACCTGCGCCACCCTGTGTGTGTGAGAATACAGAACAAATAAATCCTCTCATATCTCCGGCTACCTTTTGGACAAATGAAATGCGTGCTTCGGTATCAGACGACACTGAATTCAGTCAGAACAACGTCTTCTCATCCAAAGTTTACAGCACGTCCTTTATAAGAAAATGAAACTTTTCTTTGAACATAAAGTGTAGAGGGTAATTTGTAACCAAAAAGAAAAAATACCCACAATTGCAGCTTTTAAAGTTAGGGAAGAAAGTATCTGGACAATGAAACAATTTTTGTAATTTTGCTTTTGTACACCTCCACAGTGGATTCTGAATCAAACAATCAAGATGTAATTGAAGTGCAGACTTTCAGCTTTAAATGAAGGGGTTTAACAAAAGTGCTGCATT